TCCGTGCAGTTCCTATAAACATTGTGAATCTTTGACAGTCTCCTTTATATTGGAAATCACAAGAAATCTGTCAATCCTTGATGAATCAGACAAATCCCTCGGATATCTTTCAAATCTCAGAGATCGCTACGAAACGTTTCCTAATCTCACAATATATAGGTACACATTTTGTTGAAGTGAGACACCTCTTGAGCAATACAAGTGAATCATGAACGGGACATTACAAAATATCCAGAAATATCAAATATATTATGTAACATGCGTCATATTGTCGTTATTTGTTTGGGTGACCTCAATCATGACTTACTTTTGCCAAAAAATATAATTAGGGATTGTTTTCACTCATATGATTTCGTTGAACTAGTTAAAGAACCAACCAGGGGTAAAGCTCTATTAGGTCCAATTTTCATTAATGATAAGGACATCGCTATAAGCGGAGGAACAATAAGTGGGGATCTGAAATCTGATCACAGTCTTTCTCACTGTATTGTTGATTTAGAATCAACTGAAAAAGCTAAAAATAAATTCGTCACATACAGGGATTACTCAAATTTTAATTCTGAAGCTTTTCAAGAAGATCTACATAAACTACCATGGTTTGAACTCTTGAATGAAACTGAGCTAGATAGAAAAGTGGAAATTTTCAACGGATTTTTATTCCAAGTTTTTGACCTTCATGCTCCAAAACGATCGGCTAAAGTTACAAAACCACGTGCTCCTTGGCTAAATCAACACTTGAAGGATGCGATAAAGATGCGAAATAAAGCACTGAGTAAATTTAAAAAATCTCGCTTAGATGGTGACTGGGAGGACTATAAAAGATTACGTAATTCAACACTTACGCTTATTAGGAATGAGAAAAAAGCATATATTGATACTTTTTGTAGAAATAATGATAGCAGACGTGTTTGGAAGACATTGAGAAATCTTAAGGTGGCTCAGAACAAAAGTAATTCAATTCCTGACGATATTTCAGATCCTAATAAAATTAATGATTTCTTTGCTCAAATTTGGTCTGGTTCGTCGGATGATAACTGTACGGATGCTATTGATTTTTATGAGAATGATGATTCATTTCAAGGAGCTGATAACTTTCAGTTCAAGATGATCAGTGTGGAGCAAACCCATGATTATCTTTCGCAAATTAAATCTGCAGCTTATGGTATTGATGATTTATCAATCAATATGATTTTACACTGCAGCCCTTTCATTGACCCTTTCATTACACATTTAATTAATTACTCTATCGAAAAACAAACATTTCCTACACTATGGAAAATTTCTCTGGGGCGCCCTTTACCAAAAATATCTAAACCTACTACTCTATCAGATTTGAGAATAATTAGTATTTTACCATGTCTTTCAAAAATTCTAGAGAAACTCATGGCTGCGCAAATCACTGATTTTGCCAAGGAAACGAACATTATTCCATCATCTCAAACAGGTTTTCAAAAAAATCTTAGTACCTCCGATTCACTTGTCAGAGTGTTAGATGATATCATTGCAGGATTAGACAAAAAAGAAAGCTCCGCACTGGTTCTACTTGATTTTTCACGAGCATTTGACACAATAAATCACAAACTCCTTCTGGCAAAATTGACTTCCTATGGATTTTCTCATGATGCTTTATTATTGATAAAATCTTATTTCAGTAATAGAAAGCAAAAAATATTATCCAACGGTAATCAGTCTGGATACGTTAATATCACAACAGGGGTTCCCCAAGGTAGCATTCTTGGACCACTATTGTTTATAATTTATACAGCTGATATTTTGAAATCAATAAATAAATGCAGTGTATGTGCATACGCAGATGATACACAAATTGTCATTAAATTCCCTGTTGATAAGTTAGAGCAAGCGCAACTTGATCTCAATTACGATCTCAACGTTATCTCCTCTAAAAGTTCATCACATAATCTGAAACTGAACTCTACAAAATCGAAGTTACTAATTTTTTCACCTCGCAATCAGTACGAATATATTAAATCTAATCTTTTAGTTAGCATCAATGGAACTCAGATAAACGTTGAACACTCTGTGAGAAATTTAGGATTGGTGTTGGACGATGATCTTAGTTTCAAAAGCCATATAAATAATTTACTTAGAAGGAGTTTTACATCGTTGAAAGTTTTATATTCCAACAGATATATACTGAACCCAAAGTTACGTAAACAATTATGTGAGAGTCTAGTTTTATCCCAGTTTACGTACTGTGACTTTCTTTATGGACCTTTTCTGGATGCAGCGTTCAGAAACAAGATACAGAAAGTACAAAACTATTGTATCCGATTCATTTTTGGTCTCAGAAAATATGATCATGTTAGTCAAAAATTAAAAGAGCTCAATTGGCTAAATATGGAAAGTCGTAGAAAGTTGCACTTGGCAACTTACTTACAGAAAGTCATGCAAACAGGTCCGATGGACATAAAAAGTAATCTAGTTCCACGGTCTCAAGTTCATTCCGTGAATATAAGAAAAAAGACAACCATAACCATTCCACATCATTCGACAACTCTCTTTCAGAAAGGATTCACTCACAATGCTATAAAATTGATCAATTCATTACCTGACAATATGATGAACCTTAGTAAGTCTGCTTTCAAGCATCGTTTCAAGCAAAATCTCTTATCGGACCTACCGATCTAATCAATTATTCTGATGTGAATGGTATGATTCAAAGATGTAAGTCTGTAATAATTCAGTAAAATCATGTAATGTAACCATGTCATTATCACATAATCTTTTCTTACATGCTATCTTATATTATGCAGATCATTATGGGGTTAGATGTAAGAGTAGCCTAGCTAAATTTCGCCCCTTAATGATCATAACAATTGTATTTGTTTTCATCATACTTTTATAAATAAAGTCGATTTATTATTATTATTATTATTATTATTATATTCGATATGACCTGGAGCAAATTTGTTAAACAAAATATCGAAATGAATATCGTGCAATCGTCTCTATACAATCGACAACTGGAACAATCAACGTTCAAAACATTCGATTACCAATAGGTACTTGATATTCAATCAGAATACCAACGTTACACAATCTTTGGCGCCATCCGAGACAAACACTGGAAAAAAATACTGGGTTTCAGGATCGAATACAAAACTCGTTGGTACTATTGGCCACTTGTACTGTTGGTTAATCATTATTGCTTATCCTGAAGAGGTCTTGTACTTACAGATTCCTAAAACCATCATTATGTCGTTAATGCATTACGCAAAATGAATGAACACACATGGCTAATTGTTTGACAGTGATATGGCCGAAAGAATTGCCATTTGTCACCTCACCAAGGCACTGAGTAAGTTCATCTCACTTCCAATGTTAGCTCATGATGGGATCTTGAAGAACACGAACACTACTACAAAATATAAGATTGACATGAGGTATGCTTGTTCGAAGTTCGACTGCTAGCATAATTTGATATCATGTAGTATATTGTTATTGTATATTCTCTCTTATCTATAACAATATACATGACACAATTCAGCTCAGGTATTCTTCCACCCCACAATAAAGATCAAGGATTTCTCAATCGACTCAAACAATATATATACAGTCAACTCTCCGCTTATTCTCGTTGATTATAGAAAAGGACACAGTCCCCAACACCCATCAACATGTCGAATCTAGAGTGAGGAATATATACAGTTTTTCCTATGACATTTCAACAACAGCTCGTGAATCGAATTCACCTTCGCAGTAACTAGTCAAGAAGTCAAAATATATGTTTATACATATATTATAAGGAGAGAGAAAACGCAATAGTTATCTATATTGAGGCCCTATCTAAGCACATTGTTTTTTTATGATGAGCTCACCTGATGCGGGTCACAACTACTAGCTGAAAGCTTCTGAAAATGGACCTAGCAGATGCTGAAATATTTAGCCTTTGGACCAACGCGACCTGAACCGCGGAACGAATATTTTCATTCTGTTGAGTAGAACTATGATGAATGACTTGAACCAGGTCTACATACCTTTAACCGCCGGGAAACATTCGATTGATACTAATTTGTTTAGAAATCGAGTAGGGATTTCCGATAATCATAAGATATGGTGTGATTACTGATGCGCTTTTGTTTCAGAAATTTTACTCGACCTCTCGAGAACAGTGAGAACAATGGGTCCGTCGATCTTCTAATAGATGGCGACATTGCACAATTATAACATCTGTCAGTTTTGGAATTGTCGCAGATTCTTCGAATTGAGAGTTGAATAATCCCACTGTTACATATTATGTTCCGCGTACCGAAAATGCCATTTGCCATTTTATTTCCACTCGTCACAGCAGCAATAGCAGCATCACCATCTAGCGGGAAAATGTAGAATCAACATCTCGCTCGTTGTGACGTAGAGAAATCATAGTAGGCGGTCGAGTGATTTTTCTGAAATTTTCAATACGTAATAATGGCCGAATGCGCGCACCATATCTTACTTCCATCATTGTCTGTACTCTAATTTATTCGAATAGCCCGCACAAAAGTGCATGTGAGCCAATCTGTTACTGTCAAGTGTCAAGTCCTATTTTATGGTTATGGTTTTTCATGATGGTAGTCACTGTTGAGAATGAAAAACAGTGAATTTGAATTTTTTCTGTGTATTTGTAGAATTAAGGTAATTAAAACTATCAGAACCATGTGAGGTGAGTCTTTTGAATTTGCGTGTATTTCACAAACAGTAGTATAGTGGTGTGCTATAGTAGAACTAGTAGAACGAATACCTACCTAGTTGAATTTGACAAGACGATGGGATGTCAGATTATTACGCCATCCTACAGTCATTATTACTCTCATTACTCGATTCATCACAATATCACAATAATGTCTGTCATTATTAAATGTTGAAAATCGAGCTAGCAATGTATGAATGACTCCATAGTTTTAGATAAATATCATTATTATAAACAGCTCTTGCATTTTTATAGCATTAGAAATTTGAATGAGGTAACCTCATTGTCGAATCTTAATGTAGTTGCTTACTTGTTTCACTAACACTTGGTTCAACTTCTGTTGGAGCAGAAAACGTCCTCAGTCGGTGGTAGGGGTGCGATTCTGAAAAAAACAATATTCATTGGGCAAGTTGCATAAAGTAATTGACAAAAAAAAAAAAAAAAAAAAAACAGTGGTAATACTATAAGTACTTCAACATATTTAAGCAATACATCGATTGCATATTTCATAATTACTATGAGTGTGAGTTCAACAGATGAAATGATCCTACCGCGAAGCAGGAAGACTATTTTGTTGAACTACGACGATTCGTAATTTTTGAAGTTCAGAACGAACTTCAGAATTTGACGACGCGCCTTTTTTGTAGGTAACAATATCAATTGGTTATTATAAAAATAATGATAATAATATATTTCATTCAATTACTAATACGATTGATATACAATAAATTATGCTTCATATCAGAGGTGAACAACTGAAAGGGCGAAGTAAATGGAAATAATACGAGCATCAAAATTTAACGACGTGTCTTGTTTGTATGTAACAATATTAATTGGTTATTATGGAGAGGAAAATAATACTAAATTGCTGATTGGTGGAACTCTAACAAGGTAGCTTGATCTTTTTTTTTTTCATCGCTTGGAGCGCACGGAAGGGAATCCTTATAATGTTCAAAGAACATCGTGCGCTCCTAGGTAGGATAGGGACAGGAGGTATGTATTGGATTTTTTTTGAACTTCTGGAGATTATATGTTGTTGGGAATACTTCTTCAGGCAATGAATTCCAGAGCCTAGCCGTTCTATGGATGGAGGAGTTTTGATAAAGTGCTGTTCGACATCTTTCGAGGTTGACAACGAAAGGATGTGCTTACTGGGCATGTCTAGTTCGTCTGACTGGTATTGCTAGTGGAGAGATGATAGCAGGCCGAGATTTCCGAAGAACATTTCCCGTGGAAGTATCGATAGAAGAGTGAAAGGTCGCCGACCTTTCTACGGTGTTCCAATGATGTCAAAGCAAATATTCAGTATAATACCTCATGTGCGTCCTCAATGCAGTTTTTTTTTCAGAAATATATGGCTAATTTCAAAATTATAGTTTATCTCATTCAACATGTGATTAGATCTATAAGGAGTTCATATAACTGGTGAAGTGGTGATTCGATGAGGAAAGACATAGAATAGTTAGATTCAGAGTTTTATCGCTATGAGTTCTACACAGAAGAATGTCTCCAGGTCAACTGAGAATCAATTGAATCAAAAAGTTGAGATTCACCATTCTGAGTACTCAGAAAACCCGTTTATCAACTCACTTAATCGAAAGTAGGTGTTTACTCCCTCATTTTTGAGGAAACGAAGTTGTTAATTTACTCCCACACGGAGTTGTTAATTTACTCCCACGGGAGGAAAAATATAGACTCTCGTGGAAGGTAGAATAATATATCTCCAGCGTGCATCCTTTGGCGTCGATATACCTATAAAATCTGTGAAATCGAAGTAATCACTGTCTTTATCACTATTATAAAACAAATAACAATAATATCCTTTATCAATTCCTATATGATGATCATACGTTTCTTCATTTTCCGAACGTATTTCTTATCAAAGCTTCCAAATGCAGTTACACAATAAACAAATCAATTAATTCTTGATGACAACAGGGTAAAATTGACTTTCGTTCAAATATGCCGTCAATTCATTGTCCATGGAGCATCATTTCTAAAGCACAATTTCAAGAATGATAATTAAAATATGCCCAGCAAACATCGAAAGGCGGTAGAAAGCCGGGCCCATGGCGAGAACGGCGGGCAAATGTCGATGTCGGCATGCCTCGAAAGGCCCTCCAAATAATTTCGAAGGATTTTGTGACGGAGGCAGAATGTACACATACTTATGATAGGCCTCTGTTTCCCAGCCGATAGTCTTCCGCTGTATGTATCCAAGTCCGAGGGCCATCAAAATTTCAACGGAGTGTGCCATCATCACTCACTCAACGTTGGCATCCCTCGCTCGCGTTAGTTTTTATTTCGATCATTTTGCAGTGGCAACAATGATTCAGTATGGCGTATATTAATTTCTTTGTTTATGTTGTTTCAATACTCTCAACAGAGATTTTAGTACTGTGTTCAGTTCGTGTTTGGTTCTCTAGTGGATTTTTATACAAAATGGAAGGGAATTGACATAAATACAGAGTGAGTGAGGAACAAACATATACACAAACTTGCACAGCTAAATAATTCTCCTATTTTAGATAATAATTTTACAAACACCATTAGACAAACAGATGCAATAATAGTTTGGACATGTTCAGGGGATACACAAGAACATAATAATATATGAGGACTTAGAAGATGCATGAGCTTTTATTACATATGAATCATGAATCTATTTTATAAACGAAAATCACAGAGTACCTACTTAAAGAAACAGTTATATTTCAAGAATTACTGTAGGTATGTATAAGGTTGCATGTTCTGGATTAGTAGAGAATGAAATCATTCAATCTTTCAGCTACAAAATCAACAACCAGAAGCCCATCAATCACAGATATTAATGAAGAAATCACAGGATGATCCAGACTATATAAATTTCTTCATGGTATATGATATCTCACCTCCAGGCAACACTCATATCAATATGATAAAGAGTGAGGTTCTCCATATCTGGGAATTGTTTTCTTGTGAATTGAACTCTATTGTTGGCAATAACTTGATCAATATAATAGGCAACTGATTACCTACATAACTTTCAAGTTATTCAGTAGGTACATAGGTGATGTAATTTTTGACCTAGAGGTAGCAACTTTTGGAATCAAGTGGAAAAACAAATATCTATCCTGCATGATGAAACACAAATACCTATTATTGGAAATTTTAGGTACCTTTTCATAATGAGTATACAGAGTGATACGTAGAACTAGAATTAAGATGTTTGATGTTTCCATAGTTGTGATATGTATTGGTTGTGATCATGGCAATAATATACACACATTGATATTTTCAGTTATTGTTTTTGTATGGGGTGTTTATACTGCCAGTTTCCTGGAAGTAACTGTGATATCAGGATGCCATCTCAGAGATTTTTATGTAATAATTCAACAACTTCAGGTAAGAAGTGAATTCCACATTTCTGTTATACCCAGAGGATTCACAAAAAACTCGGAAACCTCAATTCTGTTTTTCGAAGTTCCACATTTTTCAACCAGTTTGAAAATAAAGAGAGTGATGCAAATCTGAGTGAAAATAAGATACCTTGCTTTCCAAGTGGTGATATAAACTGGGATACCTATCAAAAAACCTATTTCCACTGAGATATATGCATTACCCTGTATATTTTTTGACAAACCTAGTTGAAAAATGGGACATCAAAAAACAGAATACCATGAATATTGAATTCATTCAACCCCGTTAACCAACGGCCCTGAAAAACTCCTCTATCGGGGGAATAAAAATACTCAAGCGGACAATTAATGGCAGTCTCTGAAAAGTCTCAATCGGGCCGAAGATATGCCATGAATGCAGTACATTTGAGTACTTCCTGCTGCCCATCAGAAGCCCTGCAATGTAATAAGCGGCATACTGATGGCTCTAGAGGGGCGGTCGGCTGTCGGCCGCCGGGACACGGGCTAGCCGGCCCAATTTAGTTGTACAATAGAGGACCGCTGTTACCGCTCGCCGGCAAGTTTCATTGTACCTTTAGAGGGCCGCAAAAATCATGTTTGCTGGGTGTGTTCGTTGACGAAACCATGGAAGCAAAGGTTCATTTCCTTTCATGTGTGTTTAATGCCCTTCGCTACGCGTCAAACTTTACACCTTACCTTCCCTCCTTTGATATATAAATAGCTTTCATCATTAATTTCACTGAACGGTTACTCCGAATAATGTCTCGACTGAAAAATAGCTGTCAAATATATTCCCAATGTACAGACCAACACTCTCCAAAAATTGATAGTATGGAGAATATCGCCTCAAAATGGTTATCAACATTCATAGTCCATAGCGAAACATTCTTCAACTTCAATTCAATCGATTTTGAGTTCACCGAAGTAATCGATGTGTCTTCACAGGATACAACCGGGAGAGTAGAAAAATTGAAATTTGCCGTTGAATAACTATAACACCCTCTATACGAGCTTCTGCCTTAAAATTGTATGTGGGCGTATTTCAGCCATCGCTATATCAAATGCTTTTTCAGAAAAAAATCTTTATTGTCGTTTTCTACATCTTTTCTTCAACAAACAATAGTAGGAGTTGAAATTCTGAATATTCCAGATGCAACCTCATATTCTTACGTCATAGAACAAGTGTACCTATTGATGATTATCCCTTGGATCTTTTGGAACAAATTGATTGCCTAAAATGAAAGCAACATGATTCGTTCTGGAAAGGATATTTAAGCAACTACTATACGTCGATAGAGACAGGACGTACCAGTCACGTGTCTCGTCAGAGGCCGACTTGCTTCCGCACGGCTTGCTCGCAATATTTGATGCGACCTGTTTCTAGACGCTAGTGTCAAGTTGTTACTGTGGGTAGAGGTCAAGTTGAGATAAGCGAATTAGCGATGTCACTCGACTCGGACTCAAGAGGTAAGGTTGATGTTGATGTAAACAATGTTTCTTTAAAATGCGATCATACAAAGTTTGTCTAAAAGTATTCGATACAAATCAAAATTCAGATCCCATGATGATTTTTTCTGATGTTTGATGTTGAGATACCTTTATTCCTCGATGAAAAAACCATATGACATGCAATATCCATGTCCATAAGAGTTTGCGCATGTAAGTAATTTAGTGTCATATTTTGATCAAACTACTAATAAGGAAGCGAAATACCAAATCGAAAACACAGCATATTTAGGTATCTAGCAGCCAATCAAGATCCGAAACACAAAAAAGGAAACATTGTTTTCTTTTATCAACACAGATATTTCAACCAACCAAGAACGTTTATTTTGGAATTATTCAACGGGATCCAAATTAGGCGAGAGGAAATCAAAAGCACTTAATATGGAAGATGATGATTCTCATATCTTGGTAACTGGATACATGAATTTGCAACCACATTGAAGCAGGATCATGAGATTGATTGGGAAAATGAAACGAA